CCCCCCCTGGGGGGTGTAGGTGCGGGCCATGTCCATGTGCTCGGCGCCGGTCCGCCAATTCCTGGTTGCGGTTCCTGGGCGGGGCGGCCGAGGGGGAGATGCGGGAAAGAGCGGCGCGGCCCGAGAGATCACCTTGGGAAGGGAAGGGCGGGGACGCGCGGCGTCTTACTACGCTCTACCGGGAGCGACCCACGGTGCGTTGCGGCAAGATATGTGCGGGGGCCGCGATGCGGGCGAAACGTTGGAGGGAAAAGATCAAGTGCGTTCATCGCTTGAGGTTTGTACACAAATGGGGGAGGTGCCCTCTTTCGTTTTCCGCACGCGTGACAGTGAGGCTAGTCGCTAGTGCCATTTCACTCTGACATGTGTCTTGTCTCTGGGCCGGCGCGGGGGCCCCCGGAGGCACCGTGCGCCGCGCAGCGCAGTGCGGAAACGGGGCCCCGGCTCTACTAGTCTCTACTAGCACCGACTTCCCGATTAAGCTAGGTTAATCAGAGGGCAGATTCGGAGAGATCTCGAGGAGTACATACAGATAGACCCTCCAACCATCAGATAACTCTAACCTGATCGGTCGTTCTGACCGCCGACAGATCACTCCAGACAGCAGACAGGCCGCCCACCTACTGCCCCTGAGAGTTGGTTACCGAGTGGGATCAGCTCCCCCCCTTGGGATCGAAGCTTCCACGACCTCGCACCCAACACCACAGGCGGGATCAGAGAGAGACTCCGCACCGGACACCGCCCGGGCACAGACCCCCTACCCGTCGGACAATGCCTGGACCCCTCACAGAGCGGCCCACACACAGATCACGCATCGGCAGATTTCACGCCTGGATCAGGCGTAGACAGCACACACTTGTCACGGTTGCATAGCCCTGGGCCGGGGGGGACGAGTTCGCACTCTCTCTCTCTCTCTCGCTCACCTCCGTCGGCCGGATCCCTACCGAAAAAAAAGTTCAATGATGAGCGCCGCGGCCGCAGAAGGCTTTGCCGGGCCCGGCGCGGCCGAGGCCGGCCCCCCGCCATCGGACGACGGCGTCAGTCTAGAGGAGGCGCTGGCCGAGTGCCTCGCCCTGTCCGACTCGGACCTGCCGAGCCCGATGAGCTCCAAGCACCAGCGCAGCCTCCTCCGGAAGTACCCCGGCATCGCGACGCCCTCCGCCGACGGCGACGGCGTGCGAGGCAGGCTCCCGCGGAGTCCGTCGGACCCAGGCCTGGGTGCGCGCTCGGGCTCGCCGTCTCCGACGCAGTCACCGCAGGCCTCGCCGACAAAGCGGGTGCGCGGGCGGCGCGGCAAGGCGCGCGACGGCGGCAGCCCGGCCAGGCTCGCCTCGACGGCGGAGAACGCGGGCGAGGCGGTCTCGGACAGGGCGGCGGGCGGCGGGAGCGAGGAGGCCGACGGCGCCGGCTCCGCCCGTGACTCGACAAACGAGGGCCTTAGTGGCGTGTCGGACGCCTTTGACTTGCACCAGCCGCTCGTCCAGCACTTTCTGCTGTACGAGAGCTCGGTGCGGCGCGCCGCCAGCGCCGCCAGCGCCGGGCTGCGGAGGGGCGGAGGCTCGCGCCGCCGCGACGCCGCGATGACGCCGGAGCTGGGGAAGCGCCACAAGCGGTCCGGCTCCGCGGGCGTCGCTGCGTCTGCGATCAAGTCGACGGCAAAGACGGCGGCGCGCACGCCCCGCAACGCTGGCCGCATCCTCTCTCGCACGGTCAGCTTCTCGCGCGAGGCCGTCCTCGGGCCGGGCTCGACCGCGCTGCTCGCAAAGTGGCTTGCAGAGGAGGAGGCGGCGCGGCGGCGCGGCTTCGAGCGCGCTTGCGCGTCACCTCCCACAGACATCTCGAGGACACTTCGCGGACACTTCCCTGTTAGGCGCGGCTTCGAGCGCGCCGCGTCATCGCACGAGCTGGCGAGCGCTGAGCGACACCGCACCTCGCTCGGCCTTGCGCTGCGGACGGCGTCTCTTCACACCCGCAGCTGTGAACAGGCGTGCTACGAGCGGGCGTTGTACTGCCAACGGCGTCTCTTCACACCCGCAGCTGTGAACAGGCGTGCTACGAGCGGGCGTTGTACTGCGGACGGCGTCTCTTCACACCCGCAGCTGTGAACAGGCGTGCTACGAGCGGGCGTTGTACTGCGGACGGCGTCTCTTCACACCCGCAGCTGTGAACAGGCGTGCTACGAGCGGGCGTTGTACTGCGGACGGCGTCTCTTCACACCCGCAGCTGTGAACAGGCGTGCTACGAGCGGGCGTTGTACTGCGGACGGCGTCTCTTCACACCCGCAGCTGTGAACAGGCGTGCTACGAGCGGGCGTTGTACTGCGGACGGCGTCTCTTCACACCCGCAGCTGTGAACAGGCGTGCTACGAGCGGGCGTTGTACTGCGGACGGCGTCTCTTCACACCCGCAGCTGTGAACAGGCGTGCTACGAGCGGGCGTTGTACTGCGGACGGCGTCTCTTCACACCCGCAGCTGTGAACAGGCGTGCTACGAGCGGGCGTTGTACTGTGAACGGCGTCTCTTCACACCCGCAGCTGTGAACAGGCGTGCTATGAGCGGGCGCTCGAGGCGCTCGGGCAGGCCGTGGCGTCGGTGATGGCGGGGGCGAGGCGCACGTCGCACAGCGCGTGCCTCGTCGATTACTCGCGCGCCCTCGCGCAGCACCGCGCCATGTGCGCCGCGCTACTCGCCGCCAACGCCTCGTCGTGCCGGCGAGACGCCGCCGAGACGCCGCGCCGAGATGCCGCCGAGATGCCGCCGAGATGCCGCCGAGATGCCGCCGAGATGCCGCCGAGATGCCGCCGAGATGCCGCCTTTTGCCTGGCCCTGCCTTCACCTTGCCTCACCTCACTTGGCTTGTCTCCGCCTCGCCTGCCTATTTCTTGCCCCTGCCTCGCCTTCCCCCTCCCCTGCACCCGCCTTACCCTGCCCCCTGCCTCGCCTTCCCCCTCCCCTGCCCCCGCCTTACCCTGCCCCCTGCCTCGCCTTCGCCCTGCCCTGCCCCCGCCTTACCCTGCCCCCTGCCTCGCCTTCGCCCTGCCCTGCCCCCGCCTTACCCTGCCCCCTGCCTCGCCTTCGCCCTGCCCTGCCCCCGCCTTACCCTGCCCCCTGCCTCGCCTTCGCCCTGCCCTGCCCCCGCCTTACCCTGCCCCCTGCCTCGCCTTCGCCCTGCCCTGCCCCCGCCTTACCCTGCCCCCTGCCTCGCCTTCGCCCTGCCCTGCCCCGCCCTCACCACCGTCCGCCATCTCGTCGTATTGTGCGACGACCAAGGGGACGAAACAGTAACCGTTGCCCTCTGCTCCAGGAGCGGCGCCGGCTTGCCCCCGCGCCTCTCCTTGCCGGTGCCGCTCGCTAACGCTAACCCTAACTCTAACCCTTCCCCTAACCCTACCCCCAATCCGTACCCGTACCCGTACCCACCCCGTACCCTAACCCCAACCCTAACCCTACCCCGCACCCTTACCTCAACCCTAACCCTAGCCCTACCCCGCACCCTAACCCTAACCCTAACCCTAGCCCTACCCGCACCCTTACCTCAACCCTTACCCTAACCCTACCCCGCACCCCTACCCTAACCCTAACCCTAACCCTAACCCCAACCCTAACCCTACCCCGCACCCTTACCTCAACCCTTACCCTAACCCTAACCCTAACCCGGACCCTAGGTGCCGCTCGCTCCGAACCTCGACACGATCCCTGCGAGTCCGCTCAGCCCGCCCCCCCGCCCGTCGCCGATGCCGGGGTGCGCGTCGGCGGGGCGCGACGCCGCGCCGCCGAACACCGCCGCACCGACGGCGAGAGTGGTAGCCAGTAGACGGCAGTCAGTAGCCAGCAGCCAGCAGCCAGTAGCCGGTAGCCGGTAGCCAGCAGCCAGTAGCCAGTACGCAGCAGCCAGCAGCCAGCAGCCAGTAGCCGGGAGTCCGTGGCCAGCAGCCAGTAGCCAGCAGCCCGTG